TGTGTCTGTGTGTGTGTGTGTGTGTGTGTGTACACAAATTTGTATAATGACATGGGTGACATAGGTATTACAAGGAGAAGGTGACTTATGAGGACATTGCCCCATGTCCCCATATTTCAAAAGGCTTATAAATCATACAGAATTAGTTTTTTTGAGAAAGTAAAAATGCACAAAGTTTCCTGTGAGGGCTACGTTTAGGTGTAGGGTTCATAGGGTGTCGTAATTAATTAATTACGAATGAATGCAACATGCTCTTGTTTTAACTAAAATGAAAAAGATGAAAAAGGTGTAGGGTGTTGGGATTTTCCCCCAATGTAAACAGCGCTCATGATGCTCTCATAGACTATCAGTAAATCAGTGTTTAAACAGGGGCGATAGAAAATACGGTTTGTACAGTATAAAAACCATTACGCCTATGGAAATACGCCACAATTCACAAAAACAAACGCGCGTGTGTGTGTGCATGCACACGTTTTAAATTATTAGAAACCATATTCAGTCAACACTGACATCATTTGAAGTTGGAAAAAGGTAATAAATTGCAAGATATCGCAGAATATCGCAATATATTTAAAATCGCAATAATATTGTATCGTGACACAAGTATCGTAATAATATCGTACCGTGAGGCCTCTGGTGATTCCCACCCCTAGAGGCCATTGTTTCAGATCGCTAGTTCGCATTTTGGTAGCCTATCCATCCACTGCGGCTGCCAAACTGAGACTATATGCAAACGCCCCTTATCCGATTGCAATCCAATGACATTTTGAAGGACAAGACAGTAGACTATAGGATGCATTTTGAATGTCCGGTAGTCCTCAAATTAGTCACTTCAAGTTAATGAACTAAGAATGAACAAAAGTTCTTCAGCATTTACTAATCTTAGTTCATGTTAATTTCAACATTTACTAATGCATTATTAAAATCAACAGTTGTGCTTGTTAACAGTTAATGCACTCTGAATTAACATTAACTAATAGTGAATAACTGTATTCTCAACTAACATTAAGAAAGATTCATAAATACTGTAATAAATGTATTGTTCATTGTTCGTTCATGATAGATAATAAATTAACTAACATTAACTAATGGAACCTTAATGAAAAGTGTTACCTTAATATTAAATATCAATATATTATTTTTATTCACTTCTATGTAACAGAATCAGATATAAGTTTGTTTTTTTTGACAAATTATCCAAATAATGTATAGTCATACAAAGCTATTATTATCAGAGCATATGAGCAGAGCATAGCGTCACTGAAGGTAGCATTATTTTAGCAGCTTTGCCCAGTACAGCTGAACTAGCCTACACCATGTTACAGCAGCGCTACTGCAAACCGGAACAAGTATACAATTTCCTGTCAGCGCGTTATTTGAGCGGACTTTGCTTTTCCGATGAGCATGAGCAATACACGAGCGGAACGCACATTCATAAATCGGAATATTGAGCGGAGCGTCAAACCGCGCAGTGACGAGGAGAGTGAAACATGCGCGCTGAACACGACGCGGGTGCGACGCGGCACGCCATATATATTATTATTATTATATGTAGTCTATATTTTCGGTGCATCCCTACTTACATCCCCTCCTTGTTTACAAATCCGAAGTAAGTCCATACATCCGATTTAAACGCGGACGGGGCTTTCCTGATAACTTTCCGCGATGCCACCCTCTTTATTTTACTAACTTACTGCATGCTGAAGGTGACCCAGTCACCAGAAAACCTGACCTCACCAGAAAAAAACTCAACACCACCATCTAGTGAATTGAAAAGAAATTGATTTTATAATTCTACCAATAATAAAAGATCGATACTTGGCGTCCGTGTATCGATACAGTATTGCCGCGGAAAATATCGCGATACTATGCAGTATCGATTTTTTCCCCCACCCCTAATTATAGTCCCGTCTTGTCTTGTTAACGAAGACGCAGCATAAATTTCGTCATAGTTTTTATCATCAGTTAGTTTTAGCTCGTCAACGTCTCATCTTAGTCACAGAAAAAAAAGTTTGTTGGCGAATATTTTTCGTCGTCGTCTTCGTTGACGGAATTAACGCTGGAGCACCATCAGTCATAATTATCACTATTGGACATTTGTTGTAAATTCTTGTATATTTGAGAGCTCATAAAATCATAAAAGAAAAGCTGAGCTTCCATCTGGGACAAAAGCCCAATGAACTTTCAGATTTTTCCCAATGTAAACAGCGGTCATAATGCTCCCATAAACTTTTAGTAAAGCAGTGTCTGGATGAGACCCAAAAAATGTGTTCAATTAGCATGAATCTTTGCTGCATAGATTATATATTATAATTTTTATTGTTAAACTCACTTGAGTTTGTCCAGATGTTTGAGTGTATCAGAGAGCAGCTTCACTCCTGAATCTCCTGGATGATTGTAGCTCAGATCCAGCTCTCTCAGGTGTGAGGGGTTTGAACTCAGAGCTGATGCCAGAGCAGCACAACCATCTTCTGTCACCAAACAGCCAGATAATCTACAACAACAAGTGGACTTAAAATCAGAGGATTCAAAGGATTTAAAACAACCCTAGAGATAGCTTTTTTTCTTGCTTGATGAGTAAGATATCTAGCAATCATTCTATTGATTATCATTATTTAACTAACTTTTGTAACGTTATTATAAACAATTATTTTCAATGAGTCAAAACAACAGTGCAGAACACTTGACTTGCCTGCTCAAAAGATATTATTTTCAGAAATAAGTCTTTTGGGGGGCTAAAAATTATATTCATAAGGCCTCTGATTGATTGTAATGAAATTAAGGTGCTGATATGTGAAGGATTCTTTTCAGTTTCACTCTGTTCACATAAAGAGCACTGTGAAACTTTTCATGCTTTACTGCAAACTTTTCAAACATTGTAGTATTTAACTAGCAGCAGTTTTACCTTCAAAATACTGTGTATATATATATATATATATTAGTGGTGTCAGAATTAGCGCGTTAACGCAGGCAATCAATTTTTTTCAGTTTAACTTGTTAAAAATATTTAACGCAATTAACGCAGGGGCGGGGCTAAGGTTGGCCACCCATTCACAAGTGCTGCTTCTGTCACTTTTTCTCTTGACAAGAAGTGCATTTATTAAGTCGCAGAACGACTGAGAACAGGAGATGTTACAGACGCACGCTCCACTTCACTTCAACGCCAGGCACGAGTCAAACAGCGCGGAAACGGTACTGAGCTCGCAGTGCGTGCTCTTCAATTGCACGCACAAAGGCACCGGCGCGCGCTGTAACCTGTATCCTTTCATATCAAAGTGCAAAATAAACTACGTGCATGCAATGTCGTGGTTAGTTAAGTCATGAAGTTAACAAAAAGGTGATTAAAGCTGCCTTAAAACTGTGCACGCATGTAATATATTTTATATGAGTCACATTTAAGAACATGTCTCTGAAATGGTTTTCAAAACTGTCCTGGAGCAGCCCAGCCCTGTTTCCCTCATCTAACACACCCGATTCAACTCGTCAGCTCATTAATAGAGACTTTAAGACCTGAAGTGGGTCAGAAAAGGTAAAAAGAGTTGAGAGAAAATATTCAGTTCGTTCAGCAGCGGCAGCTCTTAAAGAAATAGCAGCCAAAACAACCTAATAATCAGAATTAGAATCAGCTTTATTCGCCAGGTGTGCGCAAACACACGAGGAATTTGTTGTGTTTTTTTTAAGGTGCTCCTGGTACATACATGCATGCATGCATACATACATACATACACATCTGACATGAGAACAGAAAAAAACATTTAAATAGTAAGACTTAACAAAAAATAATGTGTATGAATCTGGAACGGTAGATATATGTACAGATTTGTGCATTATTTACTCTATATAGAACTGTATAAATAAAGATATATGCATATGTATTTCCAAAATACTTGAGAAAGAGGACATAATTAAAGATGTAGAATGAATTACGGAAATTAATTACAGAATACAGGTAATGATTCATGTGTTAGCTGTTTAAGCTGGAGATGGCATGGGGTAAATAACTGTTTTTGTGCGCAGAGATCTGTAACGTCTACCTGAAGGGAGAAGTGCAAACAGGTTGTGTCCGGGGTGAGAGGGGTCTTTGATGATGTTACCTGCCCGTTTCTTCACTCTGGAGTTGTACAAGTCCTGAGTACTGGGCAGGGGCACACACATGATTCTTTA